GGCTTTAATTCAGTACCATTCACATCAATCAAAACTTAAAACACTAGGCGATAAAACCGTCCATGATAAATAAATTGCTTTAAAGTAAATAGAACTTGTGAAATTGTTTTAAGCCCACACCATTCACATAAATAAATATATATTTTCTTCTTTCTTAGGTGGTGCAACACCATCCAAAAAACCATACCTTTATTATTATTATTTTTTCTTATTCATTCACATGCTACAACATTCCAAGAAGCCCTTGTTTTTTTTTTGTTTTTATTATTTCTTTTTCACATGTTGTGTCAGCACAACAAGATTCCACCTTTTCCCTTTTTTCAATTATTTATTTTCTTTGTCATATTTTTAAAAGGTCCCGTTGCTTTTGCCTTATCCTCGAGCTCCTCCACATAATACTTCTTCCACTGCTTAGAAACCTGAGCACTTTCTTTGTTTCTCATCAGTCTCACCTTCCTCGTTCAGTGGTGTCTTTAGAGGACATATCAACAACAAAAGAAGCAACAATAGCTACACCGCCCAACCTTCTTTTGTTTCATCCCCTTTATTTTTATTATTGTTTCACAGTTCGAAATCATTTTAGTTACCCAGGAAATAATAGTAACACTAAGTTCCAATTGGTATTCCTCCTTCGGTGAGTTTCGAAAAAGTCAAAACGGTTTCCATAAGTTTTGGAGTTAAAAGCGTTTGCAACTTTTGAGAAGATCAAACCGTTAGATTTAGTTCAAATTTAGTATGATATGGATAAAAGGATACCGAACAACTTTCGTGAAGAAACAATTTCGATCTGAGCTATCGAAATGGAGTTTTGGTACTCATAAGGTGCCTGTCCAATTTTCTGCGGAAATTGGGAACTGGTTTGGTATTTCAGGCATCTGCGATGATCGCACCGTATGTTGTAGGTACTGGGCGGACGAACAACTTCGAAGAAGAAAGTATTTCGATCCGATGTCTGCAAGTTGGAGTTTCGAGGCTGTTTACATGGCTGTCAAATTTTTTACGAATTTTGAGTTTGTACTCTTTTGCTTCTGCAAAGGATGATATACAGTCATACAATAACATATATATATTTGCTTCAGGAAAATCAGTAGTACAAATATTTTAAGATGAAATGAAAAGATTTTCTTATCTGTGAGATTCCAGGCGACATGGGTGAACATGATTTGTGGCGTTGTGCTTTTCACTTACATGAGAGCTTTTCGTGATGATAACGTGTTGTAAAATCGACAGTTTGTGCAGTGGAATAAAAGAAACAAGACACAAAATTTATGAGGTTCTTCTACAGTCAGTGTGACTGGATTACGTCCTCAGGGCAGCAGTAGTGTTTTCATTATAATTTGGAATAATATGAGTACAAAGATAACTCTCTCTATTATCTCCTATCCTCTTCCTCTCTTTTCTCTCTTCCTCTTCCTCTTTTTTTTTTCTCTTCCTCTTCCGTGAACTTCTTACTTATTTGGATTTGTGTAGGGTTTGTACTTATATAGAAAATATATGTCGTATGAAGGAAGCTTCAGTATATAGTGGAATGATCCATTATTTCATTCTTTGAGTGGACATCCACTGTTCTACAACAGCTAGAAGGAAGAAACTCCACTTTCTAGTTTTTATCATTATTGCATTGTCTTGGCGTTTTCTTCTTGTCCTTGCCAATTGCCCTTACCAACTTGGTTTTTTTTTTTTCATTTTATTTAGTGGAGTATTTAATTGGAATTTTAAAAGATTTAATTTTTAAAAAGAATTCAGAAGTATTCAAGTAGGATTTTAAAAGAGTTTATAACTGTTGATGCACAAAACCGGAGGTCTTGGAACAACGTAAATCCGACCGTGAATCTACAAGAAAGTAAAGAACACAAGATGTATCGTGGTTCACCCTAATGTTTAGGCTACGTCCACACTAATATTGATTGTATTTCTCTCTAATTGTATGTATGGATTACAACGGTGAGGGGGAGTCCCCCAGAGAAAGAGAGTGTTGTTGTGTTTGTGAGGGTATTACCTTCTGTTGGGTTCACAAAGTCCGATTTGTGAGGGGGGAGGAGTCTCATTATATAGAATAAAGGGCTCATCCTTTTACATAATCATATGGGCTGGGTAATGAGGCCCAATATGTGTGGAACCAACAATAACATTTTATATGTATTCAATTATCAATTGATTTTAAGAGATTTTAAAAAGTTAGGATGTTTGAGAATATTAAAGAGACTTTGTAGTGTATTTTAAGCATTCTCAAATCTCACATCTCCCCTGGAATTTGATGAAGTTCACACAAATTTTACCTAGCATCTCTAGAAATGAATTAAACTCCATCAAAACTTATGGATTCATAAATTTAGTATTCCTCAAAATCTCAATTGAATACACCATTTAATTTCTCTTCTCAAAGACTGCTCTTTTGGTCTTGTAGACATCGAAATTTCGGTGAAAACAAATGTTCACCAACGCATTAAAGTTTTGACGTGTTAGGGCATACATGGCATATGCCACGTGTTGTACAAATTGTACACATGGCGTGTGACTCAACAAAATAAGAAGAAATACCCTTGAAGGATTAAACAAGTTTTTCTTCTCATTTTGGGCAATGACAAGGCAAGCACACTTCAATCCATTGAGGATTAAGACAAGTTTTTCTTCTCATTTTGGGCAATGACAAGGCAATCACACTTCAATCCATTACAGATCAAAGTATGTTTTTCTCATTTGGGCAATGACAAAGCATGCACATTTCAAGTTTAAAATGGTATTAAGTAGGAAATTAGGCCATAAGTTACACCACTTCAATTTCAATATTGCATTAAGTGGGAAAATTAGGCAATGGTACTTGGAAAAGAAAAAAATATTTTGTGGTGGTAATTCATTCTCAAAGCCTATAAATAGGCTTCTCCATCAAGGTATCAAACATCCTAAAATTCACAAATACATTTTCTCTACTCCCAAAATAGAAGAGAATACTCCCCACACATCCAAAATCCTTGAAGCTTTAAAACTCTAAAGCTCTCAAGCAAATCTCAAAGAATCAAGAAAGCCTTCTTCGTTCTTCATCAAATCCTCCTTCAAGATCAAGCCCCAATGGCCCTTGAAGAACTTCCACCAATTCAAGATTAAGCCTCGACGGCCCTTGAATAAAGTGTTCATCGTTCATCAACTGTTCATCCTAAGATCAAGCCCCGAATGCCCTTTTGGATCAACAACATCACCAAATCCACACAACTGTTCATCCTAAGATCAAGCCCTGATGGCCCTTTGGATCAACAACATCTACAAATCTACACAACAGTTCTTCAAGATCAAGCCCGACGGCCCTTGAAGAAAGCTCTCAACCGTTCATCCAAGATCAAGCCTCAACAGCCCTTGGATCAACAACATCCATAAATCAACACCTTACGGAGATCGAATCAGAGGATCAAGTTAAAAGAGATCGTAACCTTACAAATCCATTAACACCAAAATATTATTTTGTACATGTTTGTTCTTGTTTCAAGAATTTTCCGTGTTCACAGGTCTTTGAAAGCCTAAATTTATTTAATTTTGAGCATTATTCCTAAATTTTGTCTCATGGGTAAGATAAAGAGTATGAACAACTTGAGCTACAAATCCTTTACATTCACAATATAAATTTAAAATCTCATCTCTTTTAACAATTTGTACGCATATGTATTAATATTCATTTTCTTTATACAAGTAATACCATGGAAGGGGAGAATTTGTAATACACTTTTTTTAGGATATAACAAAATAATGACATAAATAAGTATTTTCAATCAAAATTTTTGCTCACCACTCTAAAGTGATGGTGATGTTGATCACTTTATTTATTATTGTTAAATGTATTTGATTTAATCGATTTACTACACAAAACTCAAAAATTTAAACTAATTCAATAGTAATTAACATGCTCATTACCACGTTAAGAAGGTGAGCAAACATACACCCTTTATAAAGTAATTTGCAATAGATTACTTGATGATATTTAAAATGGAGGCAGATTATCTGCCCTCCTGTTTGGATGCCCTTCCCATCCTCTCATATTTTGTGCGGTCACGATTAAACCATGTCAACATTTTATATTAATTTTTTATAGAAATAATAAGACAAAATAATATAAAATATTGACGTGGTTGAATTGTGACATCACAAATGAAATGGGATAGAAAGGGCACTCAAATGGGAGGGCAATGTGCCTCCATTTAAAATAAGCAAAACTTAAGGTAAATTAGAGTTGTGAGTCAATTTTGTACCTTTTGATCCGACGTGTACCACGTATCATTTTCTATAGTGGGATCTAAATGGCTTCAAATCTTTTGTACGGGATACTAGTACCATAAAAATATCCACCTCTAATATTTTGACACAGGTTCACTTAACTCTTTAACCCAACAGTGTTAAAGTAAAATTAAAAAATAAAAAATAAAATACCAAAAAACCCAGGATACCTCTCCACCCACCCTGACTACGTCAGCCGCCGGAATACAACATGTTCACTTAACTCTTTCAAACAATACAACATCAGGGGAAGTTGCCGCCAGCGGAGTCGAGTGGTTGACGGGGTCGTGGCCGTCGATGCGTCTGGAGTTTTTGGTTCTTTTCGGTCTCCTATTTTAATTTTTTAATTTTTATTAATTTTTGTTCAAGTCAACGCTGTTTGGTTTTAAGTAATTGAACACGTGTCGAAACGTTATGGTGGACGCTTTTTAGGAACTAGTATCTGGTACAGAGGATTCGAACTCTGTCTAAATGGCGAACAGGTTGGCAAGCAGACACACATAAAGCAATGATTCGGTAAAATCCGATGTTGTCATCATGCCCCACATACACACACACCCAACTTTATGAGATAAAATGGAGTCGTCGTGGACAAACGATCACAACACAAAATGATATCATAGAATCTGGCAAACACGTCACCATCAATTTCGACCCATATACAAATTATATACATCACCTTTTTTTTTCTTCTTTTGTTCACATATGTATATAAAGATAGGATCAAGAAGCAATGATTTTGACAAATAGTTTTATACTAGCAATTGTGCCCGCACGTTGCCGCGGGTTTTAAAAGTTAATGTATAAAATTTGCAGAAAGTTTTACAAACATGTATGTGTCTTCATCGTATTTACAAGAAGGAATAAACATATAGAAATAACAAATGGTACAGCTTTGTTCTAGTAATGGGGCAATTGTAAGAAACAATGTATTTGTAATTCAAGGGTTAAAGTTGTGTTGTACGGTGTGAAAAAATGTTGATTCAAATATGAGCTTGTGAAGGGTTGTTAAGTGCGTAAATTGACAGTTAACACACAGGAAAGTGTTTAGGTATTTAATATTTAACCAAGGGAAGAAATAATATTGTCATTGTTTATAAGTTAAACAGCTGAGAAATAATTTTATCAAAGCAAATAAAAGATAGTGTTAGAATGGTGTACCTCCAAATGAATGATGATTGGAGGCGATGCTTTACAGAATAACGGGTTATGCTGTAAAATAACAGTAAGCATGAATAAATTCTTATGCATCAAATTGTTTTTAGAACTGAAAAGGTCAGGAATCAAAATCTGCATGAAAGTAATAAGAAATATAAATCTAGGCTAACAATATGCTTCCGTTCTCTTTTTCAGGAACCTCATATATCAAAAGTAATATTTAGCGAATACTAATTGTATAATTGCAGTCTTATCACAAATGTAATCATGTTGGTGTTTAATCGAAAGTCTTATATTGGTGCACCTTTGGAAAAAAAAAAAAAAAAAAAAAAGAAACCTAGAACTAAAGCATTGTGTGATCAAATTGAATAATTATATTGTTAATTAACAGTCAATTTTGTATGAATTTTTTTTGTAAAAATAGAAGGAGATGGTATACAAAAATGGACCAAATACGTTTAGTTCGCTGTTCTATATAGTACAGAGGTATAAGTTGCTAAGTTATTACAACTTGCATAATTCGGACAAACGATCATCATTTCCATTTTTCCTTCTCAGAAGAATCAATTGTTACCAATTTGTAGATAAAGACTTTCTTCTATTGGCTTAGTTGTAATACATGGCTAATGACTGTGCTGATCACTGAGGGGTTTAAGATGGATGTCTAAAAGTATAAACAAAGATGGTCTAACCAAAGATGTAATTGTTTCACATGCTTTAACTAAATGAAAGAAGACTTTAGAAACAGAGGAATTGTTAAATGGAGCCAATAACCAATAAAAATGATATATAGATAGATTTAACAATTTATCTATTACCAAATGTTTTTTTGTTGAATTAAGCCATGTGGACAGGGTATATTTGTAATGGGAACGTCTTGGCTAATACTTTTAGATATTGAAGTAAACTTCTCAGTGATCAGGGAAGGGATTATTCATGTATTCTAGAGTAAGTCAAAAGAAGATAGTCATTATTTATATTGGTAACAACCAATTCTCCTGAGAAAAAATGTTAGTAAAGATTGAATGTAAAACTAAAATATTAAGTAAAAAAAGGGAATAAAGCTTGAATTGTTGGTACATACCGTTGAAGTCTTCAATTGTAATTTGGGATACAGGGTGGGGAAGGATGAATTATAAACGTTAAGTAAACGCAGGGATTTACACCTCAGTTGGATTTTCAGATTAATTTTCTTTTGGAAAAAGGTGAACCTACAAAATTAAATTAAATTTATGATTAAGAATAAATGAACATTGCATCTAGGAAACTGTTCTCTATCATTTCATATAACAAAGATGACAAATCAACGATGAACTCGCTAGAATATGAAATCAGATACAAATTCAAACATAATGAAAATTTTGAAAACCATGTGATGAAAAGATTTAAAATTTCTTAAACCTTTTGAGACTTACAATGTCGTTTGTAGCTTTTTCATCCCTAATGGAGGTTGGAGGTTACCGCAAAGGAATAGCACAGAGCAAGTCCTATGGAAGCTCTTAGACAATCGGTAAAAGATCATTGGCTACAAATCTGAAAATAAAACAATTCAATCAAAGAAATAAATACATATAGATATGTTTGTTATACAGAACCTGTGAAAATATGCAAGTTTCTAAAACAGGACCAATGGGACGTGAACAGTTTATCAAATACGAAAATCAAATACCAATATTGTAATTTCACAATGGAAAACTTGAAAAGCAGAAATAGATGCTAGAACAACATCGTGACAGAATGAATATAGAAATGGATATATTATTTAATACGTTTGTATTAAATAAATAAAAAACCAATTAAGACTGAATTAACCTGTGGTTTTCATACAGAATAAACGATGGCCTTTGTGTGATGCTTGCAAAGAATCTGTTTTTCATTCTGCATATACAAAAAGAAGACATTGATTATGTTTAGCAGTAATAAAAAAATTATAGATAAATAGCATTGTACATGTTATTCAATTATATTTAAATAAATATAAAAAAATTTACCTATGAGGTCATAAAGCGAAGCACGTAATTATAAATTTGTAAGACATCTTTAAATACTATGTTCAAAGTATAATTGTCAACATTATTTTCTCCGTTTGTTATTAAAAAATTTAAACCTTGTTTTGAAGTCACTCTAGACAATGGAATTACAAATTTAATAAAAAAAATATAAATTAATATAACAACTGATAAAAATGTGCATCTTCTTTGCTTTCATCCTTTTATCAACCAAAGAAATCATGAATTGGCCAAATAGAAAACAAATACAATAATTGAAATTGATGCCAAAACTGTATTTGCTTATTTAATACTTAGATTATCACCAAACTGTTTTCTCAATGAGTATTAAGACTGGTGTAAGAATAAAATTTACGCTGGATCAATATTATCAACACTTATTCAGTGAACAGCAGACACTGAGCAGCCTTAATATTGTCTGAGTTTGTTTATCTCGTTATTAGTTTCAAAACAATTTAACATGGCATTAAAGAGGAATGAGTCAGCAATTAAACATTTTGTATGAAAAAAGTGTGAAAACAGAACAAAAAACAATAACAAATAACTAAAACCAATAATGAAAACAGTGTGTTTCAACACGACACACTATTGTACAAAGCCACAGCAAAAAAAATGAACAATTATACCAACAGAATTTTAGAGAAGCCAAAGAAAGAAACAAAGAAAGAAAAATACAAAAAAATAAATAAAAAATCCTACACTTTATAAAGCAAGATGGTAACTTTACCTCCCTCCAACAATAACAATTGATATTACAGCAGCTAGATTTGTTAGGTGGCAGCGATGATTTCACTGCCAAAAAAAACTGGAAACACAAAATTAGCAACAGGAACAACAAAAACCCAAAATCAAATAAGTCAAATTCAGTTTTTCATCATGATTGTGCAAAAAAGAAAATCATACATCACTAACACGCAAAAGCGATTCAGCAAACTGACTTCGGTCAGGTTCAAAAACTTTGGAAGCAAAAGGAGCCTAATGACCTGCAATACGCTCCACTCAATTAAGAAAAGCTGGAATAGTTGTATCATTAACCAAACAGATATGATCTTTGCCATGCAAAACATATTTGATACATCTATTTAATAAATAAGAGTTAACAGTTTCTTGTCTGCATTATCTCTGGAATAATACCAAATTATCCAAAAATTAGAACCAAACAGAGTGTTTGTTATTGATCTACCATATACAATATATGTATTGTTCTCCACCCATGTGAGAACGCTATTTGACAACGAAAAACGAAATACCTCACCATTCAGAAAAATTGCCACCATCAATGTTCTTAATCCCCAATATAAAAAGTGCTAATTTTCACAATGGTAATTGAATCACACACCTTAATTCAGCATTACATCATTGTTTAATTTAACTAAACATATGGTTGAATTCATAATTAAGCACTAATTAATCACTGAAGCTCTCAATCCTTTGTAAAAGCTTCAAATGATTTTAAACAATGTGCCTTTCAAAGCCTTTTGATTTCTGCATACTAATCTAAAGAAAGCTGTATTTAAGTATTTAAGCTTTTAAATTTTTGTAAAACCCTTAACTAATTTTGAATACTTTCCTTTTCAAAGCTTTTTCCTCGCTCATTACTGACTCAAACCAATAACGAAGACAACTCCAAAAAATAAGTGGAAAGCACAATGAGTTTCTCTTCTTAAAAAACGATTAAAATCTGAAGTAACCACACACACCAATCAGAACAAATCGAGTCTCCCTTCTTAAAAAAGGATCAAGATCTGAAGCAACCACACACACCAATCAGAAGCAAAGCGAAAAAACATTACCAACTCAACTTATATCAGACTTTCTTCCAAACATATACAATTCTGGACCAAAAATACTCACATGGAAAACCAATTTATTAGAACCATTGTAAACACAACAGATAAAACCAATTTGGCAAGGCTCATTTCAAATAAACACAAACTAAGAATCGAAAATTGCACATAGTTGTTTTAAACATAGCTAAGCTCAATATAATTTCTTTATCAATAATCTGAAGAGGTAGCACATGATCAGCCTTCAATTTGACAAAAAATTTGTCCCAACCTCCAGATCCGCAAAAAAATAAAAAACAGAAACAAAGAGCTTAAATTTCTTACCCTAGAGATAAAAAAATAAAGATACAACGAAAACAAACTGACCTTCAAATTTTGATCCCAACGATGGCAAGATGAGAACAAAACGCTGACCAACAAAGGGTTCGACAACGGAGAAGACCGGAAACAAAACAGCCAATAAAATCAAACAAAGGGTCCAACACCGGAGAAGACCGGAAACCAAATCCCCAATAAAATTAAAGTCAGGATCTCTTTTGAGACTATTTTGCGAAGAAAGAGCAAAGATTTGGCAGCAAAAGAGGGAGCGATGAAGGAGAAAATTGCAGAGCAACGGAGATGAAAAAACGAAGAGAAAAGGTAAAGTAAAAACGATGCGGTCAAAGCAGAGAATGAAACGATGAAAGACGCAGAAGGGCACAACCGACTTTCACTGTAGAAAAGTGGAAACAGTAAGCAGAACAAAGAAGAAACCGAGGGCATTTCCGTCCAAAAACTGTTCACGAACAGTGAAAAACAGTGCCACCCGAGTTTGGGTTTTAGTATATGTATAATTTCTTTTGAGCCGTTAGATTACATAACATACAATGACCCTCGTTTAGTGATTAATGACATGGATGCTTACGCTTAAAATTATGAGGTACAAAGACTAGTACAATCGACCGTTGGTGGGCTCAGAATAAAAACTTTAAGTAATAGACAACAAGATTTAAGTAGTTCACCTTAAAAATTGGGCTATATCCATTGTAATGCTCAATATATATTTAATATGGACTACAAGAAGTGCTGTATAAAAGTATAATGTTTTCTGTTTTCTTGAGTGTCCAATCGCTTATAAGAGCTACTCATCACTCTTATATAGGCCCTAAGTGAGCCACAAAAAGTCCTGGCTTCTCGAGTACTTCACTGTTATAACATTAAATGAATCAAACTCGTAGACATGTCTTGTTGGTTACTCCTTCGTCTTTAAATTGACACGGGAAAAGGAAGTGTCATTCACTCAGGTCTAGTTGCAAAGTTTCATGGTACAACACGTATCAAGCAACTCGCTCGGCATTGAAGAGCCTAGGAAAACACCACCCTGAGTGTTTGGTTTGACACTCTTTATGTCCCTTCACATGTCTTTGCTCTTGTTCATAGGCAACACGTGGCTTGGAGTTGATGGTTGAGTATGCATATTGTGGAGCTAAAAATAATCCTAAAAATCATGGAGCTGACACATGGATTATTTCCCAAGAAAGATAAGACTGCCCATATTAAATGAGCAGGGAGCAGCCTCATTCACCACGCACAGAAGGTGGTAGAGCATGCAGAGATCAACGACAACTTAAGGCACCCTTGCCCGTAGGAAAAAATCAAAGGTATTTATGATAGAATAATCTCTTATTCTGATCATAAATACATTTCTAATCAGAGAATACCTATTTCAAGTAAGTTATCCTAATTCCATTTATTTAGGATATTCCACCTAGGGCCATCCACCCCTAAACCCTAGAGGGCCGGCCCACTTCCTCCTCATCTCCTATAAATACTTCATTTATCTTCAAAATTCAGTAAGCTTTAGCTACCCCTAAAGAGGCTTTTTGCTTCGCACAAACACTCAAACACATTATTTACAGAATTCTAACTTTGGCATCATAGATTCTTTGCCAAAACCCTCCCCTCAATTCACCGTGGGCACGTAAGGCTTTTGGCCATAATCTTAGATGTTATTATTTTGCAAGTGCATATTCGTTAATCAAGGAAAGACATAAATTTGCATCCACACATGTCTATATGACTTTGTATAAAATTGTTAATTTGTCAACTTGCTTCATGCGGTCGGAAAATACTTTATGAATAAATACTAGACTTCTTTGCTAACGATTAATCCAGACTAGTAAGCGGTCATCCATAAAGTCAGGCCTCATTCATTTGACTCTATTAGGCACTTACATCCAAGATGGCATCGCCATTTTCGTTTCTTCCTTACGTTTGCATGACTTTTTATTTGTTTTTATATTCCCTAAGTTTTTATTCTTTCCATAACTTAATTTTTACTAATTCTTAATTATAAATTGATAATCCACCTCATTTAATGTTTAAAATTCTCCACATAACTTTTAATCAAGACTGTGTTATAAGATTTAAAGGCTACAAAGAAGTGTAAAAACATTTGTCCCTTGACCTTATCCCATATTTATATCACCTATTTACACACTATAGTTTTGCGGGGGATCGTGGGGTCCATTTCAGAGAATATAAAAGTTTTCGTTTTGGTGTACATGGTACATATACGTATGAAGTACAAACAAATCTACTATATGAGTCAAATGTAACACCCAGGTGTTTGAATTCAATACATTGTAACAACCCGTCCCGATTAATTTCACGGGTTTTGGAACGAGGGTATTTTGGTAATTTAATTGGTTTTGGGCTAGATGTTTTATTTTTGTTTTTGGCCTTGTTTGGTGTGCCCAAGAGGGCCACCTTTGATTTTGTCCCCCAGCCCAAAACACTTCACCTCTCTCTCTTTCTTTCTCTCCCTCACTTCTCTCTTTCTCTCTATACCCTCCCCCGAGCTCTATCTCTCTTACAGCTCACTCTCTCTATCTCTCTCTACAACTCACTTTCTCTATCTCTCTTTTACAGCTCACTATTTCCATCTCTCTCTCTTACAACTCATTCTCTCCATCTATCTCCCTCGCTCCATCCTTCTCACTGAACACCACACACCCAACCAAGACAAACGACGACACCACCACCACCGTGATAGGCCTTCATCGTTGTTTCCATCCTCATTTGTGAAGCACTGAGAACCTAACAACCATATTTAGCGAGTCCCGTGATTTCCAAGCCATTTTCCGGCCACGGCTGGACCAAATTTAGGTATGGTTCTCTTCCCCTCCTCTGTAGCTTTAAATCCATGTATGACATGTGTTGATACACAAAACCGGAGGTCTTTGAACAACGTAAATCCGATCGTGAATCTGCAAGTAATGTAAAGAACACAAGATGTATCGTGGTTCACCCCAATGTTTGGGCTACGTCCACACTGATATATTGTATTTCTCTGAGAAGTGAGGGAGAAAACCTCTGTAATATGATAGGGGATGTGAGAGGGTTTCAGGCCTAAGAGTTGGCATCCCCTAATTGTGAGGGTGATGAGTCCTTTTATAAAATAAGGGCTCCAATTATTACATATTTGCTCCTCCATTTATTACATAATTACATTTGAGTCCCTCGAGTATTTGTACGAGATCTAAATACGGAGTCCCTAAGTATGGTATAAACAGTAGTCCCCTAAGTCTTCAGTCAAGAGAGTCTTTTGGCTGGAGACTTGAAATTCAGTCCATGTGTGGGCCGAAGTAACTAGATGTTTTCTTAAACTGATACTTGATATGAGGCAGTGCTCAATATGAAATTATGCTAAACTAGAAGTAGCACACGCTGCGAGGCTGCTTGGCTCGTGGCTTATGTTGCCTTGGTTGACTCAGCTTGTGGCGTTTGAAGGTGAGGGAGTCCCTTTTATAGAATAAGGGCTCACTCCTCAATACATGCATGATGGGCTAGAGTTGATGCTCTCTAATGATGGTGAGGGAGTCCCTTTTATAGAATAAGGGCTCGCTTCTCAATACATAAATGATGGGTTAGGAGTGATGCTCGCGGCGAGGCGGTTGCTCAACTAGCGGCGATGCTCTTTAACGAAGGTGAGAGAGTCCTTTTTATAAAATAAGGGCTCGCTCCTCAGTACATCAATAATGGGTTAAGAGTGATGCTCGTGGCGAGGCGGTTGCTCAGCTGACGGCAATGCTCTCTAACGAAGGTGATGGAGTCCCTTTTATAAAATAAGGGCTCACTTCTCAATACATTAGTGATGGGCTAAGTCCCCCAAGTATTTTTCATGAGTGCTCTCTAATGAAAGTGAGGGAGTCCCTTTTATATAATAAATGCTCGCTCTTCAGTACATAGATAATGTGCGCTCTCTAATGGTGGTGAGGGAATCCCTTTTATAGAATAAGTGTTCGCTCCTCAATACATGAATGATGGGCTAGAGTCCCCCAAGTATTTTTCATGAGGCCCAGTTGAGGCCCAATATATGATGTATAGTATAGTGTAGTCCCCCAAGTTTTCGGTCAATAGAGTCTGTTGGTTGGAGACTTCAAATTGAATACATGTGTGGGCCGAAGTGGCGGTTGTTTGGAACTTGGAAACAGTTTTACGAGTTATTGAGCAATAGATGTACACTTAGTTCAATATTTAAGCCGAAAACTAAAAAAATAATTGAAAAATATAGTAGTGAGGCCCAGAACATTGTCAAATGAGGTTCTACACTTAAGAATCACAACAGAAAATCTCACCTTAATTTTCAAAAATTCATATTGAGGCAAAAGTGAAAATAAATAGATTAAACGGTGATTTATGTACGAATTTGCAAAACTGACTGAAAACCGTGAGTGTTAATCCACGTTTTTTTGTAAAATTATGCAAATTTTTTATTTTCTTGAAATATTTTATGGTAGCATTAAGGAAATATTTATAATGTATTTGAAAGTGGATTGAGGTGAAGGTGAAAATAAATAGATTGAATGGTGATTTATGTACGAATTTGCAAAATCGACTGAAAACCGTGAGTGTTAATCCACATTTTTTTGTAAAATATGCAAATTTTTAATTTTCTCGAAATATTTTCTGGTAGCATTAAGGAAAATTTTATAATGTATTTGAAAGCGGATTTATGACTTATTGAGCAACAAGCGTATATTTAATAGACTATTTAAGGTGAAAAGTAAAATAATAAGTGAAAAATATAGAGATGTTAAAATATATATTTAATGCATTTCTTTTCCAATTAGAGATGGTAAAATGTATATTTAGTGCATAATAGATTTTGCATGGAAAAATATCTCTTGAAGAACATGAATATAATAATTTGTTGGAGTGGTAAGAGAAATAAAAGAAAAATGTAAAATGATTGAAATTCCTGGGGTGCCAGACGCGTGACTTTCTGGCACCCTTAAGAATTTGAACAAATTTTGAACTTTTTTTCTGTTATTTCTCTTACCACTACAACAAACTATTATATTCATGTTCTTAAAAATATATATATTTTTTTCGTGCGTGGAGCACGACTAGCTTTTTGAGCACCTGGGAGTTCGCCTACGTGCAGGAGGCCCGCCTCATCTTGTTTGTCTTGGTTTGCCTCGTTCTGCATGTGAGGTGTCCGCATTGTTTTGCATGCCAGAAGCCCGTCCCTTTTTGCTTCCACAGAGCCCGTGTCGTTTTTTTATATGTGCACGGAGCCAGTCGCGTTTTGCTGTGCACATGGTAGGCCTCGAATTATGTGACGTATCCCACCTCATTTTCCCTGCACGAAACCCACCTTGTTTTGTG